ATTGGTGAGGGACAGGACGGAGTTACCTGGTCAACCTCAAGCTCTCCAACAGCCTCCACTGTGCTCTGGATCTCACCATACTTCAGTAGGGGTCCAAATCTTCTGAACCTCCACAGAGTTTTGGTGGGGAAAAGATGTATAAAAGGTTAAATGTCTTTCTATAGCTGTTTCTTACTTTCCTTCCTGAGATGCCTGTCTGTAATGCAGAGGCAGTAATTCATTCTACTGTCACCTGCTCAGGATAAATCCCCTTTCTTCCAAATTGTTAGCACTTTCTCCCCAAATTTGCCATGTGACCTTGCTGTCCTTTGATAAAAGTCATGTCTCATGAAGGAAAGAAAAACCTTCTCCCACACCTTATAGTTTGCAGACTGGTTTGGCACAGATGATAAAAACAGTTTTCTATATAGCTTTCTATTTTGTTGGTTTTCGTTACTCTTGTTGTGGTTTACAGTTTTAGGAAAACTGGTTAGTTCTTTCTGACTATGACAGGCTGAAAGAAATATGTCTGGAAACAAGTATTCCTTATAAGAAAGAGTCTTTGAAGTCTTTGCCTCTGATAAATGGTTTGATTTAATAGTCAGGAGGATTTGAAAATGGACCTTGTCATGTCTGCAATCAGTGGAATATTATTTTACCATTACATTTTAGCAGTATTTGGGACCCCTCCAGCAAAGATGAGGAGGAAGTGCACTTAAAGAGCAACGTGGGGGCTAGCCCGTGGTGTGTGCCTGTGATGTACTGCCTAGTGAACACCACAAGCAGAGTTTTACACCTATTGTGACAGCTAGGCATTAGTCATCAACTCAGTGGAGAAACTAACACTGTCCTTGTTTTTAGTCATCCCCCGAAGCATTGCACTGCTCATATACATGTACATTTGACTAAGCATAGAGAATGAAAGCAGAAGCAACTTTCCTGTTTTTCTTTTTTCCTTGGTATCCTGTTAAAATTTTTGATTCTCAGGAAGCCAGAAAAAGCATAAAACTTCAATTGTTACACATAATTCTGATCTTGGACCAGAGCAGCTTATGTATTTTACAGGGAAATTTAGGTGGAACAGCTTCCAAGGCACGTTAGGCTATTCATCACAGACACAGCTTAAATATTGTCTACAACTTCTTTGTAGAATTAGAAAAATATTCTCCGTGGTTAATCACCTTTTCCAAGTGTCACAGTTTAACAAAACATAGTCTTAAAAGATTTACTCTTCTGCAGAACAACATATAAGCAAGAAATTCTGTTTTACCCTTCTTCTAGGGTAAAAATGCTAGGACAAAAAAGGATTTATGTGTACTGAAGAGCTAGAAATGTCTCACCTCTCACTTTTGCATGTAATGCTATTTAATGCTAAATACTCCTTCCTTGTATTTTCCCAGAAAGTTGACAATTCCCATTAATAGTACAAGAGAAACACAATGCTACAAGTCTAGTATTCTCAAAATCTCCTAGTGTTCATAATCCACACTTTCTACTTAGATTTTTAATAGGTTATATTGATAAGTATCTGAATGCATTTATGTTGCAATAATATTAAAAGTATTTTAAAGTATTTTGCATTTAATAGAATACTAACCACTGAATCTAATCAATCAGCATTAGCATCATTAGGTATGATGCCATCGCCAAACTGGAAACGTGCCTTTCATTTACAAAGTGCATGTGATGAGAAAGTATTCAAACAATACATCAGTTGCAGATATGTGTGGTTGAAATCACATATGTTTTAAGTTGTGAGAAATGTACCATTATTCCAAAATTATGTAGGTCGTTATCTAGTAATTCTGTTTAATGCTTTTGTTGATAAACAAATGCCATTATTTCTTATATACAAGAAATGGTATTTTTCTTCTCGCTTCTTCATTAGTTATTGCAGTGGTTACTAACTCTCTAAACTAACTCTAAAGTTGTGTGTTCTTTGGAAAGGAAACAATAAAAAATGAAAATTGAAAGAAATCATTAATTAGAAAGCCACTTTAAAGTCTGCATAGAAAGCAATCAACTATGATGAAATTAATGTCATATATATACTAATTAATTATTTATGTATTAAGTAATATGCATTATTTATTAAGTAACATAGATATAAAGAATATATTTATATATTAAAGAATTACGCATCTTAAGGTAACATCACCAGTTTATGAGATGGCAGACATAAGGAAAGCATGGTCCTATGTAACATGGCTTACATATTAAACGGAAACATTTTTTTTTCTAATTTCCATTTCCACGTGGGATTACAGTGTGGGAGCTCACCTCCTGAGTGTGAAGGAGGCATGATTAGTAACACAGTTCTGCTCTTAATTTAAGGTAGTTGATTAATTTTGGACTCTCAAATTTTCCCCTTTAGCAGGAAAGGCACAACTGTTCCTTCAGCCTACAGGAAAATATAAGCTATAGGTACTGAAGGACTTTAGATAACGAAGGAGCCATTGGGTCTAACCCAATTTCCTACTTTACGGTTATTTGCTGTCACGATCTCAGTATCTTTCAAAGACTTTTTTTTTAGGACTGCCACTCTGCCTCCTTTCAAATTCGTTTCCTGTTCTGAAGGAGGATGCATCCTCTTTCTTTATTTTCTGTTGCTTCTTAGCATATCATCCAACAGAAGACACTGATCACACTTTAGCCTACTCTATCTAATCCCCTCTATTGCAGAAAGGAAAGCATGTAAGTATAAAATAAGAATATATACACTTGCATCTGCATGAAATTTGTATTTATTTTAATTACATGAAACAAACAAACAAACAAAAGTTAGAAAAGAAGCATTACATCATGTTTTTTAAAAATACATCTTTTTTTTTTTTTTCTTTTTCTGTAAAAGTCAGTACAGGTGACTCAACCAGAGAAATTTCAAGAATTAAAAACTTTTGGCAAAACCACTTTTGGATATACATAGGCCAACAGCTACAACTACACTATTGATATATTTACACACACACACACACACACATACCCTTTCATATTTTGATAATTTGCATTAATTATATGTGTGCTCTCCTTCTACTGTACTAGACTAAAATCACTGTATAGGTCAACTGAACTTTGTGTATATTCTCTAATGTCAAAAACTCATGAAGGACATTAAAATACATTATAATAGAGCTGAAAATTATATCAGGTCTTTCTTGATAAAATGAAAACCAAGGGGATTTAGAACCAAACTCAAATCTATTTTGGATATTGTCTTCTAGTGATAAAGTACTGCAAAAGTTTAACTTTAGCGAGGCACATCAGAGCAACCTGGCTGACTATAAGGTCCAAAGGAAGAGTAAAATTCACCCCCTGTGGGACACTGGTCCCCCAAAACACTGGAAAATGTCTAACTAACATATGGGCAACATTGACAGCAGCTGAGGTGCTACAGAGCTCTTAGCGTCTTAGAGCATGGAAGTATTTCACAACAGTTGTTTAGTCTTAACTACCAGGTGGCGTGGTTTAGATAATGAAGCATTATTGTGTGTCAACATCTCTGTTATTTGTACTGGGCTTATCATTGCTGCTACTTTGACAATACACTTTCTAGAAGGAGCTGAGTTTGCCAAAAGATAAATCATTTAACACTGTTATTTATTGAGCAATTTCTTTATATGGAACTAATAACATGCCTGACATGCCTGTACTTCATAAAAATGTATTTCTAAGGCCATAAGTTTATAATTAAAATGCTAATGGTTTTAAAATGTTAATAGTGAAAAAATATTTTTCAATAATTATCAGATATGTTCAGCTTTTAAGATTTGTGAGTATTTGTTTGTTTTGGCTGAGAAACAGGAGAAAGAAATTAGGAATAAAGCAACGGTTTCTGTCCCAACATCATCTCTTTATCTCTCACAAGTGAAAAATAGAAGCAATACCTTTACACATATGTCATGTCACTTTATTTTCTGTGCTTTCCAAATTACAAGTGTGGATATCAGAACAGCAACCATGTTTTCCCTGAATGTCTGAACTACTAGTAACATTGAACAATTTTATGAAGAAATACTTCTAATCATCAGCCTGTGGCTTGGAGGAATGACAAGCAATGCTTCAAGTGAAGAACTGCTACAATGTGCAGTGAAAAAAATACCACTTGAGTTTTCTGAGTCTTCCCTCTATTAGATAGGAAGGCCACCCTGCTATATGGGAAACTCATTTAACCCAAAGAAAGCATATAAAATATATGCACCTGTACCTGCACAATCTGTCTAGGCTCTTGACAGGCAATGCAACATTGCTTGGTAGGATTCATCTCATCCTATACCCGACAGCAATAAGAAATCAGGAGAATGATGAAATAAAGCACACTCAAAATGCATACTGGAAATATTAACATGTTAATTTGTTAACAACATTTCTGTGAAGGATGTAACGGACTAAGTGATAGAGGAGCTGCTAGAATGGCACTTCCACCAACACAATGTGTTTGATCAATGAACATATGGGAAGCATGGAGTTTACGAAATCATTGAGCAATGCCTTGTGACTGTTTAAATCACTGCTATCTCAGGCAGTACTATCAGCTGGGATTAGTTAACGAAATAATAACCACCTGATCATCTACCTGGCTTCAGCAACAGTTCTATGCATTTGTTAAATGGTAATTAGATATGTATTCATTATTTTGTAAATTAAAACCATCATTTTTTATTAGCAGTCTGTAGCATCCTGGATTATCTGAAGTATTGAACAGAGACACTTTATTGACTGAAGAAAGGAACTAGAAAAATCTATAGTAGTAATCAAAGTAGAATTTTGATCTGTTAATAACTGAACAATTTGGATTGATTTCAACCTTTTCTACCTCATGAAATTATATAAAGTATTGAAAACTGTGACATAATATAGAGATCAATAACGTCTTTTCTCTGTATAAAAATAAAGACTTGAAGTTTCTACTTCTGGTTATCTGAAAAATTGTATAAGCATGAAGCCTCCTTGTCCACAGCTTGTAAGAGTGAAAAACAGAGACAATATTTGATGTCACTCTAACTATTTTTTGTCCTTCCCAGGTTAAAGATGAGAATATGAGAATGATGGGATTAAACCATTTGATCGACTATAAAGGCTACACCCCATCTCCACACAATGTCTGTCTTCACTAGAGCCGTGTATTTCAGATGGTTATCCTGAGCTGGCTACGACTGTGCATCACATACCCAAGAACTACATGCAGACATTTTAGGTCTGGGTCTAGAAGGGTACTGAATAGCAGTGTCTGTGGTATACATCATCTCACATCAAACAATATACACTGGTTTCTGCAGATGTTTTTAAAGAACCTCTTCCTCCAGAAGGAGCTTTGATGTGGGACAGGAACTAAGCTGCCCTGAGCCATCCAGCCTGTGGATGTAATGAGGCAAGCTGCTGCAATGAGCCTCTCTCTGTTTGCTCATCAGGGAATCAGGAGTATTGTGTATTGTGTATGGCCAAGACCACCAGAGCTCTATCTGAGGTGCTCAGGTAGTGTCACAGAGTGGCAGCGAAATGTCCAAGATACTACAGAAATTGCTGAGAAATTAAAGTTGTGTGTGGTTGACACCAGTTTAAAGATTTTTGTTGTGTTACAAAGGGACCTAGTATTAATCAAAATTTCCTTTCCTCCAAAAATTTGTAATTCGAATATGACTGATGTTCTTTATAAGAAACTTGATTCTACAACTTCCTGTAAAAGCAAAATATGCTCTCAAAAGGTGTGTTTTACTGATGGGTACCAGCACATACTTCTGTGTAACTAATTCTACAATTTTTCTTCGGTTTTATTTTTCCTTAGGACTGTTTTGTACTAGCTTCATTTTCACTGAGAGACAGTTGAATTCTTTATGGATTGTTTCTTTACTGTAAGTGGTAATGCTTCGCTAAATGTTGAGAGGGTGCTCATTTACACTTTCTAAGATTTTTAAAATGTGAAAGATGTTAAACTTTTTATGGCTTTTCTTTCTGCGTGAACAATAGTTCCTTCTCATGTTTTGAGATTTGCTCAGAAATTGAGAATTCGGAGTAGGAGATGAAGTCAAACATCCCTGCTTGGCTTTACTGACTTTTACTGAGAGCTCAGATAAATATATAAGTAGAATGCTGTCACAAAATGAGACAGCGGGTTGTGGCTGAGACTCAGTATTAAAAGACAGTTATTTGGAATTGTATTGTATGCTGACCATTGTCAAAAATTATACAAGAAGGAAATTTTCAATTTTCTGTCAAAGAATGATCTTTTTTTTTTTTTTTTTCCTTCCTTCACTGAAAAAAATCAATTAGATGGCACTTAAGGTCCTGAGAATAATTTTATTTCAATCTTTTTTCTTTTGACCAACAACTTTATCCAAGTTGCTGGGGATCTCCAGGTAAGATCGGATGGATAAGTAGTACTATTTTTCAAGGAATGAAACCGATGAGACAAAGGCTGAGTTAGCCTCATTTTTTATTTTATTTTTCTAAAAATGCACTTTACTAAATAAGTGCATATAAATTCAGAATGTGCACAGTGCTTCTAATGTCTAGCAATAATGCATTTGTCACTCCCGTGCTACAAATGGGAAAATTAATACAGACTGAACAATGTTGTGAAAAGCCCAGCTATTAGTGGAGGTGGTTATGGGAAGCACACAGCTTCTAGTCCACAGTGTTCCCAGTGTACCATCCCATGAAAAATTTTCATTTCTATACCCAACTATAGCTTAAGAAATATATTAGAGACAGAAGCTGCCAGTGGAATGCTAGTCACCTAAATTATTAAAAATTAAAAACACAGTTTCTTCATAACTGAATTCATACAGCTGGTTTGACTGCAGGGATGCTACCTAAAGGAACATTTTAACTAAACCACCCTGCTGATTTTGCAGGCATATGGAAAAGGAAGGAAGGAAATGATAAGAGACAGAAGACACAATTTTATATTTTGAAAGCCAAAAAGCTTAATATCAAAGGTATAAAAAGATACAGCTTTTCCTTTTGAACTGCATCCATGATTTTGCTGGCTACATACTCTGCATCATAAGCAGGAAGTAAAAGTTGGTTTCTGGTGAAACAAGAAATAAAGCATTATGGAATTATAAAACTTTACTTTTCAGTTGTATTCAAGCCCAGAAATCATTTAATACAAGAATTTCCCTCCTTCCCCTCATGTAGTCCTGGACATAATCTGAAAAGTAAAGAAAGAAAGATCAAAACTATCTCAAAAGCACCATAGTATTATATACAGAATTTAATGTCTTGTAATACTATTTAAGTCCTGATACTAATTAGTCATATATTAGCAGACTTAGTATTGAAAGGATGCTATGCATATTGGTAATAATAACCCTGAAGGTTAGTGACCCCTACCATTATTGATGCACATGTATCTAAGGTTAAGATTCATAATTTCCAGAGGATTTTCCAGTGAACTATATAAAAAGATGGGCTTATTTAACATTTCCTATACGTTTCTAGACACTCATTTACAAATCAGGCATTCTTTCGGTTCAGAATGGTCTTCACCCTTTGATATCACACCTTACATGTCAGTAAGAATTATTAATAGTAGTAAAATCTAAATACCCTACTTGTAAATACTGCTTCAACCCATTACTTCTTCTTCTGATATTGCTTTGTACCTACAATACAATTTTGTTTGCCTGGGAAGACTGAATCTCATCTAATTTGTATTGTTTGATGTAATCTCCTTTATTGGAGATAATCAAAACTTGAGTGCACAAGGTCCTGTGCAACCTGATCCAAATTGTCCTGCTTTTATTTGGAGGTTTGGACCAAATGAACTCAAAAGATTTTTCCCAACCTAAATTATACTACAATTTTGCAACTGTAAAAACTTTATTTAAGATAGGAATTTACATGTAGATTCCTAAGGCTTTTCAAATGTGTGTGAAAATAGATATTAGGTACAATTAAACCCACTTCTGCTAACAGTTCAAAAGCTGTCGTCAAAGAGTTTGTTATTCTTCAGGAACTTACCTACAATGGATGGAATGATATGACCTAAAAGTGCACAGCTAGTGTGTAAAAAGTTATAATGCCTTGACTGAAAGGTCCACTCTTACAGGCATTATGGTTAAATGAAGAAAGCTGAATGTGATCTTTTGTCAATATTGAATCTGACCCAATAGTAATAGGCGGCAAATGTACACCCAAGTAGCACCATCAGTTGGCAGAAGGAACAAAATGCACTTATTAATATGCAGTTCACATTCTCACAGGGCAATCTGAGAGCTCTAGTCAGAAAGAATTAAGGGAGTTTGGGTAGCGCACACAGGTTGATGCAATGGGCAGGACTATAGCAGCCAGCTTTCCTGAGTGAAACAGAGGAGAATATGGAGCGGTTACATAGCTTAAAACACAGTTCATTTGAATGCATTTTGATGAAAATTCTGCCAAAAAGCCTCCTGAACCTGAAAACCATTTTCCAACCAAGTGTATAGTCCCAGGTTCCACTCAGGACTCTGAACATCCATCCACAGAAAAACAGGAATTGTTAGACAACCTGTATGTGGGGCTCCCTTCTACTGCACACCTACAAGATGTGTTGTCCTTCTGTGGAGATAAGATGGGCTGCAGTCAGCCAGTAAAATCTGTAGTGAGCTCCCTGTGCCACACAGGCAACCTACCACCATCCTCCTCTTTGATATGCCACCACCTTTCATATCTGCGGGCTCTTCACGAGTGTCAATGTCGCAGTACAAACTGCTTAAGCCAAGCATTTCTGAGATCTCTAGGGAATGGTATTGGCATATAGATCTAATTCGTAATAGTACTTGGCAACACCAATACAATGATTTGTAGACTCCCAAGAATCCTGCTGTATACTTGCCATGCTAACCAGGCATCCATGATTACAGTTGATCACGGCTGGAAAAAAGGCCTTGTAATTCTAGGAGACATATTAAAAAAATATCATTACAGCTAGATGTTTCAAAAAAGTTGCATTCCAAATTAGTTTTTACAATGTGAATTACTTTCTGGAGCATCATTACACAAGAAACCCAGCTGATTTGCCATCTCTGAAAGAATTAATAAGTAGGAGACATTTCTTTGAATGACAACCCTTCATCTGAAGATCTGTCAGCATTAAAACCATGTTATTAAAAGCAGTGGAGTTTTTATTTTCTCTTCCTGCTGTTCCTTGTATTTTGAGTAGTCTGTTAGTAAAGACTTGATACACAAGAGGGAGCTAGAAGTCAACACATCAAGGGAACGTCAGCTGGCTCCGGGCCCTATTTATTACAAACTGTACTTCCTGACAACTCTGGGCCCCCAAACCACCAGTGTGGTTGGTAACAATTATCTAAGGAGGACACTAGTGTTTTATGAGATGAAATGAGAAGAAAAGAGACAAGAGTAGTTACAGATTTTTTTTCAATACTTGAGATGTGCTGTGATGTTTGTCACTCCAGATGTGGGCCTAGTACATGCTGTTTTGGTCGGGGGTCCACAGTTACTGTCCTGCTGTCCTCTGTGGCTTCAGACCTGTCTAGAAGAGCATCTCCCCCCATACCTTTGCCTCATGTATATGGAAGAACGATGCACTGTGGGCTGGAAAATGATTAAAAGATTTACTTGGGATGATTTTCCAGTGTGAAATGTCATTTAGTGAGGAATTTGCAATGCTACATTTCTCCTTTATGCAGGCTGATCACTCAGGTGTATAAACGACAAATATGAGAGGGTGCGAGGGTAACACTCCCTCACAAGAAAAACCTCCTAAGGGACAACCGAGACCCCAGATAACAGCAAATTCCTTCATAGGAATGAAAACAAAGCAAAGATAATACATACTATTTAGATTAGTTTTCTACGTATGTGAAGAAGATACTGATGAGAAATGAAAGCACAACCTGAAGACTGACACCAAGCAGCATGGTTGTGCCTCGCTGAATGCTACAAGACCATTAGAAAAAGCTCTCTGATGCCAGCAAGTGTCAGCAGTAGAAAAGTCACAGGCCACTGTGTCAGCACTAGCTTCAGCCACAGCTGACAGAGCATGCTTCATTATACAGCTATACAAAGACTTTGGATTTAGAAGAGTGCCTGGGCAAGTTTTTGTGAACATTACTGAGACATAGTGGGTCACACTGTCAGTTTGGTATATGTCCAGTTACAGGATGATTAAAAAAATGGACTTTCCGAATTCAAGGACCTTCCCATCCCTCTTCTAAATTGGGTATCTGAGGTATGTGCTACTGTGGCGATTCTCTGATTGAAATATTTGCCTGTGCATTTCAGGCACCCAGGAGAGAAAGTATATATATTACCCAGACTCGAGACAGGAAATTATTTTTTTTTAATTATTATTATTATTTTTTTAATAAAATTTGGGAAGCAATATTGATTAGAACAGTAACATCCCCAACTTCTCATTTAACCTGAGTTAAAAAAGGATAAACAAAAAGCATTAGAAGGTATCCTTGCCTCTTTTACTTCATTTATGAAAATGTCTAGTGATATTTGGAATTACTTATATCTATACTGGAAAAATAAGTATGTAAAAACTGTTTTATTGTGCCAGTTCACCTAGACCCATACCCTTTGTCTCGTGGACAAGGA